AGGGAAAGACAGCATTCTTCTTCTTCTTCTTCTTCTACTTCTTTTTCTTCTTTATGTATGTATGTATGTATGTATGTATTTTTAGCTTGCTATAAAGGACATGTACTCACTGGAGAGAGAGAGAGAGAGAAATAGAGAGGGAAAGTGAGAAATAACTCCCGGGGGGGATGGCCATGTCACAATCCCTTCTCCTCCAGTCTTCTCTCAGGATTTTAGGGCCTCACATAACACATGCTCAGCATGTTTTGCAAGCTGCTGGGTCCAGGACTCAAACCACACAGTTGGCCATAGGAGATCCAGCTCCATTAACTTCCACACCACCCACTGGCCCCTTGTTGGCAGATTTCGATGAAATGTCAGGGAGGTCTTTAGCCATCAGAGCTGTCTAAATGTGGATGGGATAGCATCCAGAGGTGGTGAACTCTCCATCACAGTAGATATGCAAAAGAAAGTGTTGGGCCAGCAGGTGGCATGGTGGTTAGGATACTGGGCTTCTACATGGCTAACCATGGTTCAAGTCCTGGACTAGATGGCTTGAGAATTACACTGGGTGCTTGTGCATGCATACCCAAAATCTTAGGAGCAGAACAAAGAGGAGATTCCAGCATGGCCAGCCCCCTCGGGGGGAGGGAATCTCTTACTTTCCCTCTCTCTGTTTCTCTCTGCAAAGCTCACATGCCGTACAGGGAAGGAAAAAGTAGCCTGCTATCAGGAGAAGCTCTTAGTGAGTGGGAGTTCAGCCTACAAAACTGGAGAAACCAGAACCACCCTGGACAGGCTTCCTGGAGGAGGTAAGGGTCCCCACATGCCTGACACCTTCCCCATTGGGCTCCCCCTCAAGACATCCTCTTCCCCTGCTTTCCACAAAGTACCGCATTGAGTTGGAGTTCCAGGCTGAGGACGCCTCCACTGTCCAGCACCGGCAACAGCCTCAGGGCAAACACAGCTGGGCGCCCGGGAGGAAGGGCCACACTGGGGCCAAAGAAGATGTAGAAGTGGACGGAGAAGGTGTCCAGCTCGTTGCGCAGAGTCGGGCGCACCGGCCAGCAGTGCTCAGGTGGAGATGTGGCCCCAGGCCCCTCCACAGGGGTTTCAAGGGATGGCGGCTCCAGGGGCAGGGCCTGGTTGCCCAGTGACTGAGGCATGTTCATGGCAGCTCCAGGGACCAGGGCACGGGACAGACTGGGCTGTGGGCACTCTGTGGGGCAGAAGAAACCAGAGCCGGGACTGTAGCCCTCAAACCCTGCAGAAAAGCCTTCCCACAGCCCAGATGGGGGCCAAGCAGGACTCAGCAAAGAATAGGAATCTGATGTCCCTTGAGAGTTGAAGCATCAAAGGTCCCAAGATAGGGCCCAAGATTTCCTAGGGGTCATAGTCAATGGGAAGTCAAGTTGGAGAGAATTCAAATCATCTGTCCTTCCCCAAAGGCAGTGAAGACTCTGCTGAAACATAACTAGGTGTGATGGGCTGTCTCATTGACTTGCCTAGGCTTTGGCAAGGGTGGTGTCTCAGAGGTCCCAGATGGTCCTGCCTAGCCCAGGAAACTGAAAGAGATTAAATCAAGGAGAGTTAAGAAGTCCTTCAGTTGTCCTAAGTTAGGCACCCCAAAAAAATGATCTTAAGACTATCCAATGTCTTGGACCTTCTAGTGCCTAGGACCCTGGGTGAAGCAAGGGCGATCAGAGGGATGTGGTAGTGGTCACTGCACACAGACAGCTACCCAGGTCACTTTCTAGCCATGGATGTCGGCAGAGCTGAGTGATGGGGACAAAAGCAGGGGTTCTGACCTTGCAACCGCACACACAACTGGAAGCGGATGGTCCTGCCAGGGCCCCGGAATGGCATCTCCACACGCACGTAGACCCAGTGCCCCCAGGGGGGCAGTGCCAGCTCCAGCTGGCATACCGAGGCACCCGCACAGGCCACAGAGCTGGAATTGTGCAGGGGCGGGGCCTTGGGACGTAGGCGTAGTGTCAGGGGGCAGGCAGTCACTCCACGGCCTCCCACACACACCAGCTGTGCTGAAACCCTGTAAGTGAAACTGGGCACAAAGACCCTGGGCAGAGGACAGGTTGGGGTAAGAGAGGACAAACAGAGAGGTAAGCAGGATGCCAGAATGAAAGAAACAAAAAGAAAAAGGGCATGGAGGGGACAGAAGAGGAAGCCTTTAGGGTCTTCCCTCTGAGTTGGGAGAGAGAGGGGCAGGGATCTGACCCACCCTGGGGACTTTGGGTCACCCAGCAGTCCAGTAGGGCAGAAGAGAGAGCAGGACCAGGCAGGTAGGCTGAGAAGCCGAGAGAGAACCCTGCAACCTGTTTGAGGCCAGAGAAGGAAAAGAAAGGGCGCGGTTTGGGGTAGTATTAGACTTACTTGTGTAGGGCTGAGCGATTGTGAGGAGAGAGGGTTTGTTCTGAGGGCCGGCCGGGAACCAGCACAGCAACGTCCAGCAGACGCCGGACAATCAGCTGCGGCTGAAGGAGATACTGACACTCATCCTGGAGACCCTGGGACAAAAGTGGGGGGTGGGGGGAGAGACAGTCGGGGTGCCATTAAACCAAGGCGAACAGAACCTGCTGAATGGGCCTGGGAGAAACCCCCTCTGGCCTCCCGCTTCCAGGGCTCTGACCAAGGTCCCTCTAAGCTCTGGATCCTTCCTGCCAATAGTCATTTCTGACCATCTCTGTCCTACCAAGTCTGCAAGGTCTGCTGGGATCTCCAGCACTGGCTGAGATGTTGGGACTTAAACCCAGGCCCTCCTGATAATCAGGCCTTGCTTGCCCCTTCTTTAAATGTAACCCCTCCTCCTGAGCATTCCTGGCTGGTCTCACACTATTGTAATGTCAAACCACTCTAGTCCCTCACCAGGCTCTCAGGAACCAAGAACACTAACTCCTCAGGGGCTGGAGATTTCCTTCAAAGCCTCCAGTCCAACCCACCCCCAGCAGTACCAGCAACCTAATCTTTCATCTCCTTTACTCCCCAGCCTGTCCCCTCCCAACTGCCTGTTTCCCCCTCTTATTTAACTCATTACCTCCCCGGCAACCTCTAGACTATAAGCAACTTGAGAATAGGAACCTGGTCTTATTTTATTTTGGGTCCCCCAGGCACAGGGTCTAATAGAGTACACTGATAAATGTTTGCCAAATAGACCAATAATAAATGAAGTAGCCCAGCTGGGGGCAGCTCTAACCTTGATGAAGCTAAAACCAAAGCCTAGCATCTTTCACTCCCATCCTACCACTCTGCCCTCAGGCCCTATAGGTACCTCTGCTCACTCAGCCTCAGACAGTGTTACTTCTGGTGTGGAAGAGAACCACCATGCCCCTGCCCCCCAGTTTCTCTTCTTTTGGATAAACCCTTAGTTCCTTCTTCTCGGCTCATCATCCCACCCAAGCCTCATCACTCTTCAGTGAACATAGTCCCATTGGTGTGGCTCCTCTTCCATACAATTTGAAACTACATAATCCCTACAAACTTAACAGTTCAGGGGAGAAGGGGGCTCCTAAATTAGGTTTCTTGGATCTTCTGGACAAATGGCCTTATGCTGGCCCAATAAACTAGAGGCTGCCATTCATTTATGTGGTTATTCTGACCAAGACGAACCTCCAAACCCTGTTCTGGCACAAAAGCCCCAGACCTTGATATCCCCTCGAGTTCTGTGCCATGGAAGTGACTTCCAGCAAAGCTCCCCAAGGCTGGGAGGAGAACTTGACAGATGGCCAGGCTGAAGGATCTCATTATCCTCTGCCTGGAATTTTTCTGTGTCTTTTGTAGCACTGCATGCCCAGTGCCCAGCACACTCCCCAGCACGTACTAGGTGCTGTAAAATAGCTACTGAATTAAAGAATGAGTGTCAAAAAGAAGGTCCCTTCAGGGAGCTCCTGAACCAAACTAGTTGCTCAGAAACTTCCATCTCTGATATCCAAAGCAGATGTCTTTAATCTTTGGTGTCAAAAACCCTAAGGATCAGAGATATTTTTACAAATCATTTCATTGACCTTCCTTTCTAAGGCAGGGATAACCACCACAATAATCTTACAGTGAATGAGTCCCAAGGGTGGGGACTCACACTGAGGAGGTGGTCCATTCCCTTGTTAGACAGTGCAGGGGAAGAAACACTTTGCTCTACATCTTGCTCGCTGTGGACTCAAATAAAGGATCAGTGGTTATGATCCCTCTAGTCAAGCTGTGCTCCTTCCTTGAATTGCATCACATGCCTATCTAGCCCTCTCCCTTAATGTAGAGAGAGCACTCAGTCAGTGGAGACCAGAGAAGGTGCAGTGGTATAACAACCTCCACCCTGTGGTGGGGTCAGAGAAAGGACACCAGAATCCAGGTCCTCCAGAGCTGCCACAGCCAGCGGAGAGAATCCGAACTGAGTCAACAGGCTGAGCCAACCACTGTCATGGAGAAACAGCTAAGACCAAGAAACTCAAGAAGCCAGGAGAGCCAAGTAAGAAGTGGATGGTATAGTCTGAAAGACCTTGGGGTAGAACAAGGTCGAGGGATTTCTAGAATTTCTTTATATGGATGGACTAAGTGCTTTAGAAAGGTCCGAGCTGGATGGCCAGTGCCAGGTGCAGGGTAAGACTTGCAGACTGAAGATGCCTGAAGATACTCAGTCTTTCTTTGGGAACATCCCAGTCCCAGCACAGACCAGTCCACAGTCAGTCAGCACCAATCAACGCAGCAGTAAATAAGTGCTAGGTAGACCAGAGGAGGCAAGTGTGGAAGCACGGAGACTACCGAGGAGGCTCCTGGGGTGGCACAGGAACAAGCTGAGGTTTTTTTTTACTATAATAAAAGTAGAAATGGAAATTGAGACAAGATGGTGGGCTCACAGTGAGGATCTGTTAAGAGATGACAAGTGGTTTGTCAAAAAGCAGATTTTGTGCCACCTGAGAAGCATCTTGATACACCACAGCATTAACAGCAACAAAAGAGGTGGTGGCAAAGACAACTATCTTGAAACATTTGTTTCCAGTCCAAAACTGAGTTTGATAGTATGTTTTTTTGTTCTCTTCCAGATGACTATAATTGCAAAGTGGAGCTTGCTTTGACATCTGATGGCAGGATAATAGTGTGCTACCACTCAGCTGTGGACATTCCATATGAACACACAAGACCTATCCCTCCACTAGATCCTGGCATAATAATGAAGAAACGCACAATCAATGCTGAAAACCAGATTAGAAGGAAAAGGTGGGGGCCAGCAGGTGGCATGGTGGCTAAGACACTAGACGCCCACATGGTCATTTGAGGTTCTAGTCCTAGACCCAGTGGCTTAAGAATCACATGGGCACATGTGTGTACCTGCCCAAAATCTTGAGAGGAGAATAAGGAGAAGGGATTGGGGTGTGGCCATCCCCTCTGGAGGGTGATTTCTCACTTTCCGTCCCTCTGTCTCTGGTGAGCATACACACCCTATGGCAAAAATCTTTTTTAAAAAGTGATAGAACAACTCAGCAAAATGTTCTTTACTACTAAGCACCGTTGGTACCCTTGTGGACAGTATCAGAACCTTTTAAGGAACTGGATCCTCCAAAAGACAGTTGATATTGAAGTTTTCAAAGGAATCAGAGAAATGTGCCTCATTTGCCATTTGAGAAAATCCAATGTGGTATATTCACTAATGTTATCTAATAAGACAGTAATAACAACAATTTCTTTTCATATTAAAAAAAGGTAGAAATGAAGAAAAGCAGATGCATTTGGGACCTGCTTTAGTAGAGTGAACAAGGTTTTTGTTTTGTTTTTTAATAGATTGATCATAAAGAAGTAAGGAGGAAAGGGGAATCAAAAATGACGCCTAAATTTGGGACTCCAGCAATTGGTGGATGAGAGTGCCATGTACTGAGAAGAAGATACAGAAAGAAGAGGCTCTAATAAGAAGAAGAGAAATGGAAATATAGGGGGCTTTTTACCTTTACATACTTATTTTTAACATTTTGACTTTTGTATATACTATAAGTTTGAGACATTTCTTAGACATCCAGTTGGAGATGTCAAGCAAGCAGTTGGATGTAAAATCTAGGATTCGAAAAATTAGGACTGGCTGGATACTGCTGGAAGGCATTATCCACTTATAGATGGTATTTAAAACTATTGTGCTGGAGACCCTGCAGGAAAACGGAAAAATAAAAAACGAGTTTTCCTAGGGTTAAGCACTGGGTCACTACAACACATATAGATCAAGCAGAGGAGAAGCCAGGAAAGGAGAAAGAGAAGGAACGGCCGTGGGTAGGAGGGAAATCAGGACAGTTCTGTAAAGTTACAAGGCCAAGAAGGGAAAGTATTTCAAGAAGGAAATATAAAGAACTAGTTAACAGCTATCTACTATCTACTCTGGGAAGGGAAATTGGAGCCTGGACAGAGAAGGGAAAAGGAAAACTTACTTTTCACTGTATGCCTTTTGTACCTTTCGAATGTTGTACCAGGTGCTTATGTTACCTATTTGAAATATAAATACAATAATTTAGAAAGAGGAGGGAAAGCATAGCAAGCTCTGTTAACAGAATTTAACTACTTCCATGGAGATATTGAGTAATTTTTAGTCATCACTGGTGGATTAAAATAATAATAATAATCCTTCCTTCTGTACAATCTTCTTTGCTTTCCTTACAGTTATTGTCAATATTTTACCTACTTTTACTTATTTTCAAATCTTAGACCTGGGAAGAGGAGGCATTTGATGAGAATACGTGACCCAGACGTTTAAGAAAATGTTCCCCTTATGAGCCATGTGGATGTCAAATGGTATCCACAACCCAAAGACCAGCTCTCAGGGCAGACTGGTAACTGGGCGCCTTGGCATAAATACATGCTCCAAAACAAGAAAGGCAATGGGATGGCGACGTGTTTGCAAGACAGAAGTGGCTGATAGAGTGAAGGGGAGAAGGAAAGGAGAAATGTCTGGGACAGTATGAGTTCGGAGGGGTGGCAAAAGGACAACAAAAATTTGCCAAGCCTCCATGATGTGCCAGGCTCTGTGCCGGGTGGTAGGAATACATAGAAAATAACACAGACATGGGGTTAGTTGTGGACAGGAGCCCAGGAGAGTGGTCTGGACCAGGTAAGTCACTTCTCTTTCACAATCTTGGAAGGCTCCCTGTTCCTCAGGATATAGTTCACACTTTTAATCCCTTGAAAGTCTGGTCTTTGCTCATCCTTTTGCCTCCCTCTCCAATCCCAATAACCAGCCCAAACTAAACTAGTTCTCCCTTCTAAGCTTTGGCCCATGTTATTCTCACCACCTAAAACCTCAGGCTTCACTGTCAAACAGTTTTCTATACCACCTGCACCTCACCAGCATGTAGTTAGTCATCTCTCCTTTGTCCTCTTAAAACATCTCCTGTATCTCGCTAATCTTATCTTCTTTATCTCACTAATCTTTATCTCACTAATCCTATTTGTCTCTCTTTTTATTTTTATTTTTTTGAGAGGTTTTTGCTATAGGGTGCGTGTGCTCACCAGACAGACAGAGACAGAGAGACAGAAAGCGAGAAATCACCCCCTAGGGGGGATGGCCACAGTGCAGTCCCTTCTCCTCCATTCTCCTCTCGGGATCTTGGGCACGCACGCACACGCACCCAGCGTGAGTTTTTTAAGCCACTGGGTCTGGGATACGAACCGCGGTCGACTACATGGGAGTACAACGACATAGCCATTATGCTAACTGTTGGTCCCCCTATTTGTCTCTTTATCCTGTATCGCATGAATCTTATTTGTCTCTGTGTCCCAAGCACACAAGCCAAGGCCTGGCATAAAACAGAGACTAAAGGAATGATGGCTAGAGGGAGATCTGAACTCATCCCCCAAATTGAGGAGGACCCTAGAAACAGTACTACCTTTTTTGCTGGGACACTTCAGTTCCCACACAAGGAAATTCCTGAATCTACATAACTTCCAGTGCTTGCCAAACCTCACAGGAACTTAGAACTCTGGTACAAGGAGAAAACAAGTTGACTAGGTAGAGAAATGCTCTGGACAGTGAGCCCATAGGTCTGAGTCTGGGAAATTAACAAAGGTCTGGAGAGCTTAAGAATCCTTAGACACCCATATAAGATTCCAGAAGGTGATCCATTCTTAGAAGAAGCAGACACAAGATCTTTGCCCCATCAACCTCTGGAATGGACCTGACTGAAGAGCTAGTTCTCACAGTGTCCAGGCCTACTGACACTCATGGGCAGGGTGGAGCTGTTTCCCCTTCTCTAGTCCCACCACACTACTGAGGAGCTCCACCAGGAGGGCTCCAGTTGAGGTACCAAATGCCCCAAGCCCCACTTGCTATATCTAAGTACAATTGGGCAGGCTAGGCCTGGTTCTTTTCTCACTGCCCAGCTCCTTTTGGTTTGAGCACTCTGAATTACCCTTTAGGTCTGAGAAACCTCTCTCTGGTTTCCCACAGTCTTGATCTGGCAGCCATGCACAACCCAGCCACTCAGCTCCCATGATCCCAGCTCAAACCTAGACCCTAGGTTCTTCCTGTTCACCCAGAAAGGTTTTGGGTAACTAGAGCCAGGCTTCAGGAGGATTTTCCCCTATCCATTCTCACAAAGTAAATCAAAAGTCAGAGTTGGGATCAGAGATAGATTCGGGGGGATCTGGTCAAAGACCTATGAAGATATTCCTCCTAATAAATACCTTACTTCTGATGGGAGTCAGATCTACTCCCTTCAGATCCAGAGCCCTTTCAAGGTGCGTTCCCAACATGCTCTCCTCCTGGGGGCTCTTAGACCTGGAAAGGGAATGTTCTCATACAACACGTTCAGGAGAAAAAAGCCTATCATCGGGGCCTCAAGACCCTACCTCCACCCTCATGCCCATCTCTACCAACAGTGATGCCAGTGTACTTGCCCCTATGTGATTCTTGGCTCATCCAAAGGCATTATTAACACCAGTTCTGAACACAGGGCTACTGTCAGAAGAAGAGAGATGAGTCTGCCATATCCCTGTCTCAGCCTATAAAAATATATCCAATCAAGTTTCACCCAACTGAGAACATCTGCCCCTATCGATTTTCAACAACCAAAATCACCATTAGCTTTCTTGTTTACAATGCCCTGTTCTTTAAATCCTTGCTCTGCTCATACTCTGTCCTTTGCCCTTACCACAGGCCCCACATATGGCTGTCCCACTCTGACAATAGCCAGATCATCACACGCTCCCTGTCCTTCCATGGACAGGAGCAGGAAATCTACGTTTGCTCTCGCTACAAGGAAGAAGTCCACCCTGTCTTAACACAAGAGTGGCAGGAGAACATTGTGGCATTTCCAATCCTTTCGAAACCAAGAAGCATCCTGACCTTTAACCTGCCTTTTGAACTTTAACCACAACTGCTCTATGAAAACAGTGCTGAAATTTTGGGGAAAGGGAGGCAAGTCAGGATGGACACCAGCTACCTAAAGCCTCTTTTTAATAGAAAAGTGCCTCTCTGTGGTCTTCCATTGGATACGAGGAAGAATATATTCTCCCAGATGGACTAAAGACTGAGTTGTAGCCTAAGAGAGTTTTTAAGCCTATCATTTATCAATATGTAGAATGAGACCAATCATGGGTTTGTACAGCAGATTTGCCTTGGTTGACTTCTGATAAACCCTTACACTATCCAATAGTCAATACTTCCTAGTGCCAGAGCTTCTGATTCAAGACTCTGAATGTTCACTTACCTGCACCCACCATGACCTCCTAAGGCTCCCAAGTCATCTCCTGCAGATAGTAAACTCTGGTCTATCAACCGCTAGCCATAACCACCCCAATCACCCTTGTGCTGTCACCCATCCTAGCACAGGGCTGGTATGCCAGGCAGCCTGTGAGAGGAATTCAGAAGAAACAGAGAAACAGATCTGGACCCTCCTGCCCTGGGCAGCATCAACCCACCTTGACAGAGATGTGGCCGTGGGCCTGGGGAAGGTGAGCAGCCAAGAACCAGTCCCCAGGTAAGGGGCTGCTGACGTTAAAGATGCCTGAGGTACGGTTGGGCAGTGTCCAGCTGAGGGTCAGTGAGAAAACCCCAGGTACAGCCGTGTCCCCTGGGAAGTGTGTGTGCAGGGGATTGATGACAGGGGGTGCCCCGGACCGGAAATACCTGAGGGACCAGAATTAGGAGAGGAGGAAAGTAGGTAATGGGACAGGAGGCAAGAAAAGAGGAAAAGAAAGATCCATCATTCACCACCAGTAAAGCAAGTGGATTCCCTACA